CGGCGAGACCAAGATTGCAAGATCGTGGCAACTAAATTCCAGGCACACTGTAATAGTACTTGTACGATACCCCTCCCAGCAGGTTTTGTCAGAGGGGCCCTTGGGGGCGCAGCCGAGGAAGAAGGACAAGAGGATGAGCATCTTCGCTTCGACTGTGCTGCAACGCAGCTGTGCATGGCGGTGCGAAATGAAGTCCGCGGAGAAGCGACGACCGCCTGGGACTCCTCACGAGGGACTGGAGAAGCCAGCCATCTCGCGTCTGTATTCTGCGGTAAGACCGGTATGAGTTCGGAAGGAGAGGACAACGGCGACGTCGCACGGCCCAGTAGACGTGAGAGGTTGGCAGCGAAGGATGGACGTGACCCGAAGACCAGAAGAAGCTCATAGTGTCTCTTAGTTTCACAGGATTTGTTCTGTACAGAATTGGAGGGCGGAGATGCCTGGCTGATCCCGACATGCCAAAACTGAGCGACGATTCGTGGTCCATGCAGGAAGCGGGTTAATACATATTCCGGAGGTAGCCTAAGGCTGCATGAGTGTTTCTAGAACCTCCCCTCCGCCAAAAGTCGATGAACAAGATAATCTCCGTCGCCTGTGTTCGAAGTGATTTGCCTTGGCCATGCCTCGCGACCGGACCGCATGGCGAGGAGGCCTTCTCGGACGCATCCGGGGTTTCGAGTTTCGTAGGTTTGAAAGACGAAAGCTGGCACCCGAGACCTTTCAACCTTGAGCCCTGAGCCACAAAATCAGACTTTGACTTGTCGTGAAGCCTTGCCCTGCCTTGTTCATGTTAGAAGAGGTGTCTTGGTCGTCCAATGGGCCTAATGATCCAAGTTCCGCCAACGCCCGCCAACATCAGGCGGTGCTGGACCATTGCCCGCGTCACTCTCAAGCCTGTCTCTGGAAGGCCTTCTCGATGTTTCAGATGGTTGTGTCAACCTTTGAGTGCCCGAGCACATGGCACATTTCGCGGGCAGTTTTTCGACTTGGTGGACATGGAAACCAGCAGTTTCGATAGTTTTCTGTTTGGATTGATGGCTGACTAGGTTAGAGTGGTTAGAAGGAGGAAGGCTCGATGTGAGCGCGCGCATGAGGAAGCCTGACAGGACCGACCCTTTGTTTCAAACAGGCAGTTGTAGAGCGAAAGCTCCCTTGTTACCGTGCTATGCTGACAAGCCAGCATGGAAAAGCTCTAATGAGGATGCCAGGAGCTTGGGGTCCGGATGTTTTGCATCCAATGACGGCGCTTTGTGGCCAAACATACAGAATGTGCCCACGGAAGGTGCTGACTGGAGATGCAAGTTGTCTCCTCGAGTGAACCTAACGAGTAGGACTACCGCTGCTTAGGTCAATCCCCAAAAAATGTGTTCGGTGGTTGCAATGTCCCGGCTCAGACGAACACTGCAATGACCCTTGTCTCTACCTTTCGGAGTTTGTTCCACGGAGACATGTGTTCGAGGGCTCTTGAATCATGGCTAGAGAATTTTCGGCAGAGCCTCAGAACTCCTGGGTGTGCTCAGACAAAGCCACGGTGGATGAGAACACGGTGCGGCCGGAAGAAGGCCATGAGCATTGAGAAGCATGCTTGGATTTCAGCAGTCGTAGTAGTAGTACTAGTGGTAGCAGTAGTAGTTGCAGTAGTGGTAGTAGTAGTAGCAGCAGTAGTAGTAGTAGTAGTAGTGGTAGTAGTAGTAGCAGAAACAAAAGCGGGAGCAACATCAAGAGCGGGAGCAGGTGCAAGAGACGCAGCAGAAGCAGGAGCAAAAGTCATGCGGGAGCAAGAGCCAGAGCAGGAGCAAGAGCGCGAACGAAATCAAAATACAACTCCTCCAAAAATAAGAACAGTTTGCGAGCTTTTGTTGGGATGGGGGTGGGGGGGGCACGGACGCGTTTAATATTAGGGGGCAGGGATTAGCAGCAGGAGTAGTAGTAGTAATAGTAGTCGTCGTCGTCGTCGTCGTCGTAGTAGTAGTAGTAGTAGTAGTAGTAGTAGCAGTAGTAGTAGTAGTAGGGTGTCCCCCCCCGGTGCGGCACCGACACCTCTTATTTTTTGGCCTTTTTATGGTCCGAAATGCTGTGTTTTACAGCACTTTTTTGCCGTACTTTTCGAAAGTGGCAACTGTTCCTGGTTTCGTGTGTATTTTTGGTAGCTTTTCG